GGGGCAGGGAGGGTGGCTCCCTGCTGCTGCATGCACTCCCAGGGAGGGAGGCATAGGGGGCATATGGCCCCCAGATCTGTGCACAGGGTGGGGGAGGATGGAGGCTGCCTGCTGCCAGGCTCCCTGCCCTGCTGCCCTTCCCCCAGGCTCCCTGTGCTCGTGGCACTGCTATGGCGAGCCACCACTTGCCCACCTGGCAGCAGTGAGGGCAGTGGCATGGAGATGTGCTCCACACTGCTGCTGGGTGGACAGGGGAAACTTCACCGTGGTGGTGTGGGGCTCCCAGAGGAAGGACAGCAGGACAGGGAGCCCTGAGCCCACAGCGGGCAGCCCACATCTGTCCTGTCCCCCCTCCGCTCATGGGCTCTGCTCAGCTCTGCTCCAGCCGTACCACCAGGGGGCTGGGGCATCATCCGAGACCCTCCTCCCGCAAAAATAAAAGTCATTCAATGCCAGAGTAAGACCCCACACAGGGTTTCATGGTGAACTAGCTTCAGGCCTCACTATTCTGGAATAGATACTTCGGTAAATTTCCAGTGCAGACAAGCCCTTAAACTGATTTACTGCCAACACGGGACATTTGGGACATCAAAACCAAAGCAGTGGGGCAGCAAGAGTTCATGTTTATCTTAGGATGACAGATTTATTTTTGGAAGATCTGAAGTAGAGGCTGGGGATCCTGATGATCCCTCTCAGATCATCTCCCCAGATCTTGTAGTATGGCTTGCTGTGTGGTTTTTATCTTTTATAGTGCCATCAAATGATCCACGTGCCCTACACAGACATGAGAGAATTACCTCCCAAAGATCTTAGAATCCAGTTTGACCCACAAGCAAGTCCATAGTAGCCCTACCCCTGAGAATAAATAGCCTGACATTGGTTTCAATAGGAGATATGGTGACCTCTAAAAATCAAGCCAGGAATTTACATAGCTAAATAGCATTTTAGGCCAAGATTCTGAAAAGTAACATCAATTTTTGAACACTTGACTTGGGATTGGTTAGAGACCTGATTTTTTTAGGGCACAGCTGTTCACAGCTTCCTGAAAACTTAGGCCCCTTTAAAGAGCCTCCAGGTAGGCTTCCAAAAGCACTACTTACATCTTGCAATCATGACCTTTGTGTTAAATTTGAGGCAATTCAGTTGGAAAATCTCAACATCTCTAGTCTGGTAATAGTATGGGCCTGGTTTCCACAACTGTCACAGAACATCTCACATAACCCATCCCTCCAACTCCAAAGTCCCATGTGGACACTGATTTCCTAGGTCCCTCCAATGAAGAGGAGGTCTCCTCAGTTCAATAAGGAAACATGTACTGTTTCCCTTACCTAATAAGTATGAAGTCTGGCTATTCTCCTCTATCCGTCCCCAAGTGGAACCTGTCCTACTTTTCTACCTGTACTTTTTCATTTTATCTTGATCCCCATGGGATTTATGTTAACCTCATTAACCATGAATTTGGCAGGGTAAAGATACCCTGATCAGGTTAAGGGCTTTGGAACACAACAGTTTTTCCCTTTGGGATTCCCCAGTGCCTGTTACAGAAGAGGACCAAGTATAGGAACCGACAGAAAGATACAAGGTCATTTATGACAGCCCTCATGTACTCTTTTGTGCTATCTTGTGCTGCATGACAGCTTGAATTCATGCCATCTAAGCATAAGAGTATGTTAAGAATTGAACTGATTGGGAATGCATTTAGATCTCACCAGTAATTGTAAAGCAGCAGAAATAATTTCAGATTGGGATGTCTGGCGGGAGTTTGCACTTCAATTCAAATAATTCTGTTTTTTAGTCTTTCGAAGACTGAGTGTACACTGTATTGCTCCAGAAACCTGGAACATCCCAGCAGCCTGATGAAGAAGGGGACTTAGCAGATTTAGCATTTGGTAAGAAATACACACATTTCAGACTCAGATGCCTAGCAAGTTAAATCTAGACTTTAAATCTTCCCAATATGAATGTATTGAGTGGGTGCATCTACACATGCAATTAATGCGAAGCAATAAACTCTGGAGCTTATTGCTCCAAGGTTTATCACTCCTGGGTGCACCATTTGAACGTGTGCCTAGGACTGAGGCATATTGAACTGGCTCCAAGCTGAAAGGGGGTCTGGTGGGTCAGCCTGCCAGCCTGGAGCTGCTCCCCCTGGCTCAACATGCTGTAGGGGCTGGCTGGGGCATAAGGGTGCTTCAGTGTGGGGCCAGCCAGCAGGCAGCCTCCTTACTGAAACACCCTCATGCCACCAGCCTGCCAGGGCAGTGTCTATGCATGTGTTGCTGCAGACTAAAAATCTCTGCAGCAGAAAAGGACTTGGGGGAGTCTCTACACATGATCTGGGGTTGGGGGGGTGCTTTAATTGGAGCAGTTCTCAGGAGCTGCTTTAATTAATGCGCCCATAGCATTTCATGTATTCAGTGTCCCACACTTCAAAATGGCAGCCAGGGTGCTTTAACTAAAGCTTGTTTGATGAGCTTTAGTTAGAGTGCTACTGCTGCCATTTTGAAGCACAGGGACGCTGAATACACGAGACGCTGAGGCTGCTGAAGAGTGTTACTTAGCACACTCCTGCAAACTCAGTTAATCAAGTCTGCTCTGACACATGCTAATTAGCATGGGCATGTGTCCAGGTGTTCTGCATTTACAAGTCCTGGTACCAGGCTGCAAAACCCTGCTGTGGAGTTAATTAGTTTACCCCAGCCTGATAAGGCTGCATGTGTAGACATGCAGTGTTTATTGTGAAGCTAATTAGTCCACTGCTGCAGAGCTAATTGTTCCCAGTGGGCACATCTACACAAGACATTTACTGAAGGGTTGAGTAAGCTCTGGAGTTTATTGCTTCTGGTTAAATGCATGTGTGGAAGTGCCCAGTGGCCACATCTACATGTTCATTAATGTGCCAGAGATGAAGCGTAGGGGGAGCATGTGGGTGCACGTGCACCCCACTACACTTGGCGGTGTATCCCGTGCAAAAAGGCACTGCTGATACTGTTAGGGGCGCCTATGGGTGGTTGCTGCTTGTCACCCTGCCCCTGGCACCACCAGTGGCATCTGCGGGCAGCCCCTGATTGCTCCTGGTCAATGCTGCCAGCGGTGCCTGCAAGTGGTCGCTGACCCGTGGTCGGTGCTCACCCCCCTGCCGCCAGTGCCAGTGGTGTCTGCAGGAGCTCCCTGCTCCCTGCTGCTGGGCTCCTGCCACTGCCAGCACAGCTGTGCCCCCCAGCTGCTTAATGAAGTACTAACTAAAAGCACAGTAACTACAGTTACCGTGCAGCAGTGCTGGCACATGGTTTTTTGTGATGCTTACTGCGCAGTAGCCTAATAACAATGAACTAGTGTATTAGCGTGGTTTTTGACTGGCATGCTACTTTGCAGTGTTATTAGGCTACTGTGCAGTAAACGTCTCATGTAAACACGCCCAGTGTGAAGCAGTTTACTGTTTCAGGAGCAAGATGGAGTCCCATGAGGTCCTGTGAGCTAGGCAGATGAGGACATGTCTGGACATTATTAATCCCAAAAGATGGTTAGACTGAAAATGAGACACAGATCCATAAAGCTCTTTTGCATGGTTTTCTGTCAGTTATCTGTCTGCTGTTGGTTGTAGCAAGCAATTATTCTCAGCTCTAGCACCTGCAAGGAGTATGCAAACTGTTTGGGGGCTCTTCTGGATAAATGAAACAAGTGTATGCCAATGGCTATATAGTGCCAAAACTATCATTAAAAGAAACAATATTTTGCTCTCAGTGGTTTACCTGCCTCCACAAGCTACAGTGACTGAGTGTTCGTATACATGCATAATCCCAGGGTAGGAATCCCCATCCAGGAGAAATCAGAAGGGCAGTAGCTTGGATTCCAGTCAAAGGTGGAAGTATCAGTTGCAGAGGGCACAACCTCCCATGGGTGGCAGACGGATTTCATTTCCCCACTGCACAGTGAGTACCTGAAATTCAGTCACCCTGTCATTGCACAGATATCTTGTATTTCACACATGGAGCGGACCAAAGTCTGCACGCTACATATCACTAGGTATGCAGCACCTTTGAAACTGAAGGATCCCAAGGGATATCACAATTTATGTATACACACTTCCTTTCAGAAATGGAGGGTGTCAGCTAATTGCATAACATGAGTGGGATGGCATATGAGTCACAGACCTTGGGGCAGACCTTGATGCATTACAAAGAACAGACCAGTCCTGCACGCGATGGATTTGATGTATTCTCGGTTCCTCATTTGTCCAGAATAGCTTGCCTTCTCTCAACAACACAAACTCAAGACTCAACAGAATAGACAATAACAAGTTCAATGGTATCATCAGTTTTTTGATGCAAGTTTGGCTGAGGCACTTCACAAAGGAGTCAAAAGTATTTAGTTTAAACAATGCAGCAGGGGTGAAGAGAGAGAGGAGTAAACATTCCCAGCCCCAGGGAGCAGGACCATCCTCATTTCCTTTTATACTTGGTGATTCCAATACAAGGCAGGGGCCCCTTGAAAGTATATATAAAAATGTGGTAGGAATTGTGGAACCCAGGCCAATCCTCCTGCCCCTCCAAACATTTATATGCGAGTTGAAGCTGGCAGTAAGTTGAATGAAATCACTTGCATCTTGCACAATGACCCCTTTTCTAACCATAACTTTGTGGCGGGGTTTTCTGTCACTTGGTCTGGTCCTGTGGATCAGATACTCCTGCTATAATGGAAGTTAGATGCATCTTGCCTAGGGAGAACTGGTTCCTGTAAGAACATTAACATCAAGGGGAACTTTGCCTGACTAAAGACTGTGAAATCAGGCCAATGATGGATTCAAGCCTGCATTTAAATCGATGACTGCCATTTTCATTCTTCACTGAGGAGGCAGAAAACCTGCCTGAGGTTAGGGCAGACATGTGCTTTTGTACTGGGATGTTCTTATGGGAAATCAAGTCTGCAGTGAGATTTCAATGGTAGGCTCTGAGCCCCTGAATAGAGAACTGGAGAGAGCAGAAGGAGCATTGGCAAGCTCAGTTTGTAACAGTATGGATTTACTCATGTTATAATACAGCATGGCCTGATGATATGATTAGATCATGGAAGAGAAGCATCCAATACTGGGTAAAAAGAGAAAGGTATTTTTTTTAACTTCTTTGAACTTAAGCCCCTTCACAGATCCATTTGATATAAAACAGAGCCTCCTGTGTTGGGCCTTGCTTTTCACTTGAACCTTTTTATGCTATAAAGTTCTCCACAACTAAAATGTTATTTTGCAGTGATTATAACATATCATAAGTGGAAATAAATACATTTAGCTGGACATTATCATACAACAGGTGTAATTAAAACTACTGTACATCTAATAGGAGAGAGACATTATTCAATCTGCAAATATGCACCAGTGGAAATGCATAAATTCCATTTTTTCAGTGAAAGTACTGTATAGAAGGGTTTACAAGTGCATGTACAGTATTAGCGTGCATGTTCTTTTGTTGCCTATATTTCACATGTGTGAGATGCCAAGGTATGTATGGAGTTTTGCTGCATAGCACAATCCTATGCCACTGAATATATCAGCCATGGCTCAGAATTTATTCAATTCAGCCTCGTCCAATGAGCCAGCACTGGGCACAGGCACCAGTTAAGCCCTAAAAATAGGGCTTAATGTATGCACAAGCCTTGTACAGGCACTCTGCATGGAGGTCGCTATGGGACAATTGTTCACCCTACTGTAGAAACTCAGGAGCAACTGGCATAAAGCTCCATTGGCTACTTATGATATGCAGAGTTTATCTATTGGCATACAGAGGTTTTGAGGTTTAACACTTCAAGTTTAAGTATGAAGATTCCCATGAAAGCTGCATTTACTTCTGCAGCTGAATTCTCCTGAGAAATGCCCTGGAATCAGACAGCATCTACACTTAGCATCCTGCCATCCTGCCCTCCCCTGCTAAAAGGCTGAGCCCCCAGTAGCCTCTGATGTTAGTGACAGAAGCTCTCATGAGATAACCTGTCTCAGTTCTTCAGAGATACCTCCACACACAGTACAAGAGTTCTCCCACTATAAAAAGTCTGGCTCTTTGATGACTAGAACCTGGGTTTCTTCACTGGCTTTTGCTTTATAAATAAAGTGGAAATCTTTCTTGGGTTCAAATTTCAGCAAGTAGGATTTTATGTGATGAGGGAAGGCATCGTCAGCGAGCTGCAGGCATCTGTTGTCCACCTCAACAAAGAGCCCATAGTCCTGGGGATCTGATACCTCAAACTTCTCAGCACATTGCTGGCCTAGCTGCAGCGTCGTCGTGTCATTCCGCGAGGCCAATGTCCTTGTCTGGGACTCGGGCTCCATAAAAGAGATGGAGATGAAATCCTGCCAAGACAAACAAGCGGGAGATCTAGCTACTGAGGCTCTGACTTTAGGAGATACCAGTGATGACAGCATACTAGACACGGGCCCAGGGAGCAAAGTTCAGTCCAAATTCAGACTTCCCTAGAGTCAGGGATGTTTCAGTGGTAGGATTTTGGTATGATTTACTCCGGCAGGGGAATGGAATGTGTTACTGTATTTACTCGATTCCAACACAAGGTTTTTCTCCTGTTCATCTTGGGAGAAATAAAGCTTTGTCTGAGCATCAGTATCACAGCTGGAAGCTGTGAGATGCAGCTGTGTGGGGAGCCCAGTTGGGACAAGGACAGCATCAGCATCCCTGCCTGCCTCCCTCCTCCCATTCCCTTCTTGGCAGGGAGCCAGGCAGGGAAGGAGGAATCTGCACCCTATTGCTATGATCTCCAGCCAGCCGTGCTCCTTGTAGAGCAGCTCCTAGCTGGAGCAGTCAGACGCAGCTGTAGCAGGCACCCGGGGAGTTCCAGAGCTACTCTGGTCCCACGCTGCAGTGAGCAGCTACGCAGGGAGCCTGGCTCTGGAGCATGCAGAGTGCTCCTGCTCTCAGCCATCCGGGGAGACAAGGCAGGTGAGAGAGGAGCTGGGCGGGGAAGGAGGAATCTGCCCACAGCGGAGCCAGGCTCTCTGCCTAGGTGCTCCCTGCAGTGTAGACAGGGCAGGAGTGACTCTGGGGCTCACCCTCCCTCTCCATCAGTAGGGAAAGCAGCAGAAGGGGAATAGGCAGGGAGGCAGGTGAGGAAGTGGAGGGGATAGGGGGAGACAGCAGGGATCCAGAAGTGGAGGAGGGCAAGCTGCCTGCTTCCTCTGCTTTCTTCCCACTTATGCTTCCCCCTCTGCTTTCTCCTCTGCCTTTTTACCTCCATTTGCCTTCCTGTCACCTGCCCACCTCCTCTGACTCTGCTTTCCCCTCTGCTTGCCCCTTGCCACAGTTTTCCTACTGCAGCAGTGAGGGGGACAAATGTAAGGTGACCCTCCAATAATTAGATTTTGGACATGGAAAATTATAACAAATTTATAATTTCCCATGTCTAGACTCTAATGGGGGGGGGTGGTCATCTTAATTGAAAGTTGTCTTTGATTCTGGTAAGTACAGTATACATCATGGAAAACACACACACATATATATACATACATATCTTTCAGGTGTAAAAGTCAAGTGTGATGCCAATTTTGATCCAGAAAAAAGTGTGCCTCAGGTATCAAAGTTTGGGAGACCCTGCAATAGCATAACTGAAGGAGGTGACTGGGGCAGTACCTACAGACACCATCTTTGTTGGGGGGCTACAAAAGTAGCTACTGCAATCTGCATGAGGCATCTGGCACTGCCCTGTACGTCATGGCTGCCATAGGCCTGAAGCTGCCCTGCTACACCTCTGCTATCAAGCTCTCTCCCCCAAAGAATACTCACTGTTATGCCCTGATGCAGAAAATAATTAAAAGAAGTGATTAGTCCCATTGAAGGCAGTGGGACTGCTCACATGTTGGAACTGAATCATCTGTTTAAGTCCTTCAGCATGTCACAGCCTTGTTGAATATCTCCTGTGATGCAGTCTGTGCTCTTGGAAATAGTTCCCCCCCCACACTTTGCCTGTGGTACACCACCCAGCAAAACAGGAAGTAAAATGGTATATGATTAGCATGAGTAAGTCCTGCTCTGCCTCAAAACCAGAGGTCTCCCAGACTAGGAGAAGACTTGCTTCATTGCAGTCCTCCCACCTCTGTGAGGTAGAGACAACATGGGATGGTGTCTTCCCCTTCTTTCTTCAGTTGGAAGGTGCTGAAAGAGCGGCTGTTGTGAGATGGACTCCAATTGCACTTGGATTAGGAGAGCAATGATTCCATACCCCCCAGGGAACGCTCGAGTCACAACTCTAGGCAACCCACAGCCACAGGGGTCCTTTTCATCCAAAAGGATTAAAAATAATGCAGCCTTTTTGGTCAGGAAGCCTTTTTTGGTTCACAACTGAAGAGGGGAAGTTGGGAAATCTTGCAGGTTATTTTGCATATGACCTGGTAGAGGGATCTTACTTCTGAAAAGTGAGGCCTGACTCTAGAAAGGGAATGGATAAAGATGCTACAGAACTACAAAGTATCTAGACCATAAGTGACCAAGATACAGCCTGTGGGCTGGATCCAGTTCACGAAGCCATGTCATCCAGCCTGCAAGGCTCTCCAGGGGTCTGAAAACGTAGAGGTGGAGGAGTGGTGGCAGTGTTAACTGCTGTGGCTCCTGAGCTGCAACAATCAATGCTTCCACCGCTCATCGTACTGACAAATTTCTGTACCTGCGGGGAGCCCTGAAGGACAGATGATGTGGCCTCACATGCCAGATCAGGCCTGCCAACCATCCCTATGCCATTCACCTGGCCTATGGGGTAAGATGAGGTGGGTTCCACTGATCTAGATCATTCCCTTGCCAGGAAGGGGCTCTTCCCTTCAGCACATTTTGTAGTGCTCTGGACTAGAAATAGTCCAGTTTCTATTTAAATGGCTCAAGTGAAGAGTAAAAGGCTGACAGCCTACACAGCTGATCTGTTTGTGATGAGGAGAGTACTTGTTAACATCTGCATTGCTTGAGCCAAGCAGACCTACACACTGGAGGGAAGTATGAGGAACATATTCTCCACATCCATTAAGTGCTCCCTTGTGCATGCTGGATAAGTCACTGTGGGCACGTCTACACGAGACATTTACTCGCAGATGACTAATTAACTGTGCATTAAATTCTCAGTGTCTACATGTGCAGCCCTATTAGGGAGCACCAAACTAACTCTGCAGCAGGCTAGTTCTTGTAAATACAAGTCCTACCCTGCTGCAGAATTTATTTTCGTGCGCAGCATCACATGTGTAGATGCCAACCTAGCTGGCTGGGGCACAAGGGTGCTTCAGTGTAGGGGCTGCCTGACAGCTAGCCCCATACTGAAGCACCGTTGTGCCCCAGCTAGCCCCTCTGCACCACACTGAGCCTAGCTGGAGCAGCCCCAGGCTGGCAGGCTGAACCCCCAGGCCCCCTGCCAGCCTGTGACCTGTCTCAAAGTGCTACAGTCAGGGCACATGTGTAAGCGGTGTGCCTAGGAGCTTCCCAGAAGCAATAAACTGTGGAGCAATAAGCTCTGCAGTTTATTGCTGTGCACTAATGGCACGTGTAGACAGTCTGTCAAGAAGTCATAAAGCCTGAGCAAAAGGATCTTTGCTGCCACCTTGTGGTTGAACACAGAGTATTGCAAACAGCTATGAACATTCATTCAGTGCTTGTGGAATGTCCTGGGCTGACAGGACATTTATCTAGGAATACAAGACAGGAAGCAACTCTAGAAGTTTTCTTACCCATGAAAACTGCTGAAATGTCCTGGAAACACATCTAGGAAGAAGAAGGCAACTTAGTCTTTCTGTCCTTTTGTCATCCCCAGCCTCTTAATCCTTGACCAACAACATGGATGCTAACTTGTATCAACTCTGAGAGTGTTTATTGTGATGTGTACACTTTTCCCCATAGCAGGTGGACAGAGACAACTATCTTATCTAGTAACATTTTTAAGCCACAGCTGATATAAACCTGCTGCTTAATGATATAAGGAGAAGGAAGAGATAAGAAGCAGACTTGTTTGAATGTCTCAACATTAAGGTAAAAAGGGAAAAATCAGGGGTGAGGCCACAGGGTTTAATCAGGGAGAGGAGGCAGGTGATACTTTTTTTTTTAGTAACTCACAGAGGCATTAAAAAATTAGGACCTCATGTTAATGGCAATTTAATTACCAGACTTCTGTTGAAAAAACAGCATAGAAACATCCTATCCAAAAACTTCTTGGGATATGCTGAGGGCAACTTTTTGTTTGGGGCAGCAAAGGATGTGTCAATGGTAACAGCTACATTCTGTTTGATTTTTATTAACTACCTGAAAAGCTAAAGGTACAAGGTAATTTGGGTTTAAGTGATTCCAAAATGAGAGAGTTCCCTACAGAAGGAATAGAAGGAATGAAAGCAGCAGAACAAGGATAACTGACTTCTAAAAAGCTGGCTTGAACACTTGGAGAACTGGCATTTTAGGGGATGATAATCTAAGAGATAAAGGAGTAACGGAAAGAGACTATTATTAAAAGCACAATGGAAATATCCCAATGCAGAGGAAAGATGCAACCTATAGGAAGAAGCCATTATGACTGCATCGGCAGCTCTTTCATGACCAGAAAACTATAAAGGGAAGAAACAAAAAGTAGAAACACAGATGAGTATGCAGGCAGAGCGTGAGTGTGAAGGCACCAAATCCAGAAGACTTATGCACAAAACAAGTTACAACTAGTGAGGGCCATAAGAGGCAATGGGAAAAGGTTCTAAAATTGAATTAGAACATGGCTGTCCAGCTTCTGAGTGGCCAGGGACCCCTTCGTAACATCCCACAAGGGCTGAACACAGGTGCCCCCCACCATGTCAGTGACCCCGCACCCTGGCACACTGTGCCATGTGTCCCCCCACCATACCAATCAGCATGTTCCCCCCATGAGTTCCAGGGCCAGAGCTCCCAAGCTCTACATACTGTCCCATGTGCCCCTCCCCACGCTGTAACATGCTGGCATGACACAGAGGGTTTTTGATTCCCCCGCCACCCCCGACTGCCTTGGCCCTGTCAACAGTAACGCATTGTCCCCTGGACTGGGCGCCCAGGCGCTTTAGGGGCCACATGCAACCTATAGGCTGCCTGTTGGATAGCCCTGGATTAGAAGTAAGGAGAAGATGAAGAAAGATATTTGTCCATTACTTATCAAGGAAGAAAAGAAAGTAATGGATGATACAGGCAAGATTGATGTACCCAATGCCTTCTTTGCTTCAATTTTCACCAATAAAGCTGTGACTGGATACTTAACCAGATCAATTTTAACTAGGGAATAGGAGTGAAGGCTAGAATAGGGAAAGAACAGGTTAGCAAAGTAAATAGGGTGATAACATTCATCTTAGAATACTCAAGGAATTAGCTAAAGTTATTTCTGAACCCTTGCCTATAGAGGAGATCCCAGAGGCCTGGAGAAGGGCCAACGTAATATTTAAGAAGAGGAAAAAGGAGGATGTGGGGAATTGCAGACCTAGAAAAAAACCTGACAACCCGAAAAATACTGGGACAAATTCTGAAACAACTGATAAGAAGCTAGGGAATACTGAAGTGATACAAACAGCTAACATGGAATCATCAAGAACAAATGATTAGGGGTATGCAAAGTGGACCCTATTTGATTCGGATTCAGATTTGGCCTGAATCAGGGACAGCGATTTGATTCGTTGATTTGGATCAGTATCCCTGATTCAATTCAGTCAAATCTGAATCTGAAGATTCAATGCTGATTTGGAGAATCAGCGATTCAGACATAGACACAGCTTTAAATGTTTTTTCTACGTACCTTGAGGTACCAGCATGGCTCGTGAATGCTGCGATGCTAGGGCAAATGGAGCATCCCACAGGAGTGTGCGGGGGGCAGGGGCAGCATGCTGTCCGGTAAACCCGGAAGTGGACTGGTCCGCCAAGGAGTGTTCAGGTGCCCCCCCTGGATCAGTGATCAGCCGCAGGGGGGATTCTGGGTGCCCCCCCCAGACCCAGGAGACACCAGTCGCCGAGCCGAGGGGATGGGGCGGGCCCACCACGTGCTCTCTGGTGGACCCAGAAGAGGACCGGAAGTGCTTCTGGTCCACTTCTGGGTCTGCTGCTGAGCGCGCTGGGGAGCTCCCTTGCGCTTCTGTGGGACGCTCCATGCACCTCAGCATCGCAGCATTCACAAGCCATCAGCTACCTAGAGGTATGTAGAAAAAACATTTAAAGCTGTATCTATGTCTGAATTGCCGAATCTTTCTGACTCAATTCAGAGCGTTCCAATTTGATTTGGAAAAATTAAAGGTTCCTCTGATTTGATTTGGATTCGGAGATTCAGCCACCGAATTGGGCTGAATCTCCACCGAATTGAATCAGGGACTGAAACCTTGCACAGCCCTACAAATTATGTTAAAACAATCTAAATTCTTTCATTGACCAGATAACTGTCAAAGGAGAAAAGCATAATATAGCTTGAGTTTAGTTAGGCTTTTGACACCATCTCATATGACAGTTTAATAAGTAAATTAGGAAAATATATCGTAGATAGAATTACCATAAAGTGAGCGCCTAACTTGTTGAAAACCTGTACTCTACCAGTAGTTGTCAATGGTTTGGTATCCGACTAGGAAAGATGTGCACAAGCTGAAAAGACTGCAGATGATATGAGGCTGAGAAAACAAGACCTAGGAGTTAAAGTTCAAGGAAATGAGCATGTTCTGTCTAGAAAAGAGAAGACAGAGTGGAAGGAAATGATATCAGTCTTCTAATATGTAGAAGGGTGTTAGAGAAACTGATGATCAGTTTTTCCACATGTCACCTGGAAATGGGACAATAAAAATTTGGCTTAATGCTCGAAGATGATTTAAGTAGCTATAGGGTGCTTGCACACACGATGGGGGTTTAGTTTGGTTTAGACCTCCCTAAATTGAAACAGTGGCCTTTAAAGAACCCATGGTTTCCACTGTTTCAGTTTAAGGAGAACTAAACTGAACTAAACCCCCATCACATGTACACAAGGTCTAGAGGCCCAATCCTTAGAGCTTATCTGCCTCTTCCATGGTGTGGGGTGGAGGGTGAGCTGCCAGTGGACTGAGTGGTCCCTGTGCTGTGGGGGACCCCAGTGCTTCACTCTGTGGTGGCAGTGCCTCCCAGGTGGCACCCACCCGCTGGCATGGCACCTGGCTTGGGCAGTCCCTGGGAGCGCTGCAGCCACAGAGGGAAGCAATGTACCCCCTGCAACTGTGGAGGGAAACACTGGGCTCCCACACAGGTCAGGCAGGCCCCGGGAGGGAGGAAAAGAAAAGATCAGGTTCCTTGCCACTTTTTTTTCTTCAGTTGAGCCTGCTTGCTCCAGCTGCTGCCAGGTTGCACAGCTCCTGAGCTGCGCCTGGGGGGCTCCTCTGCTGCAGAGGGAAGCACCAGGGTCCCCTGCAGCTCAGGGAGCGCTCGGGCCACCGGCAGCTAGCCCCCCCACCAACGCCCAGCCACCGCCACGAGAGAAGCAGGTAGGCTCCAGAACCCCATGCACAGTCCCTGCTGCCTTCTCACCACCTGGGACTGCCTGGGAATGGCTGCCTTGCCCCTGGGGCAGAGCAGCAAGGCAGCAGGGTGTGCTGGTGATGGGAGAAGGTGATGGGAGAAGGTGGCGGGGACAGTGCACAGGATGCTGAAAGCCCGCCAAGCCTGAGCTTCCCTGAGCACTTTGGCTTCCAGTGCCCCGTGCACCATTCCACTTTGTTAGGTAGCAAACTAAAACTCTTCGGACAGGTTTTATCTTGCTACGTTACAAAGTCATTTAAAGTGGAATATACTACTGAGCATGCAAAAGGCAGCACTATTAAAGTGGAATACACAGCCCAGAATGCAAACAGCAACGCCATTAAAGCAGTGCAAAAGGGCATTTAAGCTGCTTTAAAAGCCAATTTTGTTTCATATACAAAGGCCCATAGAGAAAAACTGTCTATGAGGGGATCCCTAGGGAGGGTGTAGAATTCCCGTCAATGGAGACTTGTTAAAGCAGATTAGACAAGCACCTATCAAGAAGGGCTGGTGTACTTGGATCCAACCTCAGTGAAAAATAATATACTAGATAACCTCTTAAGGTCCCTTCTATTTCCATGATGCTATAACAGCATCCCAGTATGAACAAAAATAGCCTTGGGCAAGCCAGTAACTTTGGTGATTGCTCAACCTCAGTATCTTCCACTGCCTTTAGCAGCCCATCACACAAACTTAATAAACAGAATGTAGAGTGAGCCATTATTTTCAGTCATGCCTTCTCTTCTACCAGCTGTACCACAATTGGCATTTTTATTCTTTGTCTGTCATGCTAATGGGAGTTACCTGCACAGATGATCTGGATGCCCGGGCCTTGTTGAGTGTTCTTCGCCTCTCCCAGCGGTGAATGGAGTCCTGCACTTCCACACTGAGCTGTCGAGTCACTGTTATCTTATCATAGTTCTTGATGTGTTCCAGGGCTCCATAGGTGGTGGTTAAATAATAGGAACCTAGAAACAGACAGAGAAGATCCCAAAGCAACATTATAACTGAATCTACTGCTAATTTGTCTTTCCACCCTCTCTGCTTCCCTGTTCATTTAACATCTACAAATTGTCCATATCTTGGATTATGGGTGTTGTAGGGTGGATTGTTTTATCTCCCTGTACCAGGGGACAACAGAGCGCTGACTTCTGTTGGAGTCTCCTGATGTTACCTCAGTAGAAATAATAAATAATTATCACAGTACACAGCATTCTGGTTCATGTAGCTGGGCAGGTAATGGAAGCTACTGAACTTGCATGTGTCATTCCCCATAGATAGATTCGTAGATTCAGAGATTGGTAGGGGATGAAAGGGACTTCGTAGATCATCAAGTCCAGTCCCCCTGCACTAGGCAAGAAAAGACAACTGGGGTCAGGTGACCCCAGCGAGGTGACTGTCCAGTCCCCTTTTGAAGATTTCCAGGGTAGGTGACTGCACCACCGCCGGAAGAAGTTTGTTCCACAGTCTGGACACGCTGACCATGAAGGATTTTCTTCCTGGAATTGAGCCTGAAGTGGCCTCCCAGGAGTTTGTATCCATTGCTACTGGTCTTTCCCAGGGGTGCCCTGGTGAACAACTGTTCAGTGAGTTCTTGATGTACTCCCCTGATGTAGCAGTAAGCCTCTACCAAGTCCCCTCTCAGCCTTCTTTTCTGTAGGCTGAAGAGGCCCAAGTCCCTCAGCCTCTCCTCATATGGCTTGTCTTGCAAGTCCCTGATCATATGGGTGGCTCTTCTCTGGACCCTCTCAAGTTTTTCCACATCCTTGTTGAAGTGCGGCACCCAGAACTGGATGCAGTATTCCAGCTGTGGTCTGACCAGTGCAGACTACAGTGGGAGTATCACTTCCTTAGTTTTGCATGAGATGCAACAGTTAATGAATGCCAGCATATTGTTTGCCCTGCTGGCCACAGCATTGTACTGCCAGCTCATGTTCACACGATGGTCACTCCTAGGTCCCTTTCGGCCATGGTGCAAGTCAAATTGTCGCCACCAAGCCTGTAGGTATGTTAGGGATTGTTTGCCCCGAGATGGGGCACCTCACACTTCTGAGTGTTGAACTTCATCTGGTTCTGGTCCGCCCAACTCTCCAGCCTGTCCAGGTCTGCCTGTATCTGCAACCTATCTTTTGGCATGACCACGTCCCCCATAACATAGATGAATGAAAGCAATGGTGGCGTTGTTAAAGACACCTTCAGGTTAAATGTAGAATCACTGTAAACTCATACAGGATCTTCTTCCAGAGATAAACCAATTTCACCAGTCTTTGCCTTATAATGCAAGCTAAGGCATTTTGTTTTGTGCGCATCTGGTGCCCCCAGTGCTGGAAATGGAGCGGGCCTTCCCACTTACTCAAAAAGAGGAGGATTACTCAAAGGGTTCTCCCTCTGTGAGCAGCCAGGCACAGGTTGGCCATTTATGGCTCACCCCATTCTGGGGAATGATTGGCTAGGTTGCAGTACTGCAGAGAAGGACCTGGAGGTTACAGTGGAGTACAAACTGAGTAAGAGCCAACAGTGTGCTCTTGTTGCAAAAAGGCCAGCTATATACTAGGTTGTATTAACAGCACTGTCACTTGCAAATCAAGAGAAGTGATTCTTCTGCTCAATTCAGCACCGATAAGGCCATACCTGGAGTACTGTTGTCCAGTTTTGGGCCTCACACTTCAAGAAAGAGATGCACAAACTGGAAATAGTCCAATTCAGAGCAACAAAAATGATTAGGGGCCTGGGAAGTATGATTTATGGGGAAAGGCTGAAACAATTAAGATTATGTAGTCTGAAGAAAAGAAGACTGAATGGGGATTTGATAACAGCTTTCAAATACCATTTTTAAAGAGGATGTAGATGAGCTTTTATCTGGGGCTATAGGGGCAGGAATAGGAGCAATGAACTCAGCTACAGCAAAATAAATTTAGTTTTGAGATTAGAAGGAACTTTCTGATTATGAGAGTGATCAAGCATTGGAACCGGCTACTTAGAGAAGTCGTGGAATCTCCATCCCTAAAAATTTGCAAGAGCAAGTTGGACAGACACTTAGCTAGGATGGTTTAGTCAGGGATGATTCTGCCTTGAGCAAGGGACTGGACTATATGACCTTGTGAGATCTCTTCCAGGCCTGCTCTCCTATGATCCTGTGATTATATGGGGATTACCAGTAGCACTTAACTGGCAGGGACCAAAAGCAGCTGCAACATGATAGAAGTTGGTAGCCTGTAGGCAAGTGGGTGACGAAGGGTTATGCTGGGACCATTTCTTTCATGCTGCCAGACTGGACTGCTCATGAAACTGGGACAGGACTTCTAGCAAGTGGCCCTGAGTCACCTACAGCCTTCACTGTTGGCAGTTTGAGTAAGGGAATCCTCTCTTCCTCAGTGTGTGAGTGCCCTTGGAGACCCTCCAGGGCTGAAGCCTGAGAAGCCTAAGGTGTGAAGCAGCTGATGCACTTGCTTCAGAGCATGCAGTGTACCAGTGTGCTACCATACATCTGGGACCTGACTGTACCACAACACAGTCAGCGATGCCCGGCCATGGGACAGATCTGGTATTGCTAGTAAGTACTAAGGAGCCAGTATCTCTAAATCTGGGTAAATAACCTTGATACTTTAACTTCCAGATCTGTTCTTTAGCCTCAAAATGTTTGTTCCCCTCTAGCAGGGATAAGCTGCATTTCTTAGTCTGCTAGTTCATAATTTACACACAAGCATTTGTTTCCATGTTTGCCCAGTACATGCCTAAGTTAGATATGGGTCAAGGAGGTAGCGTTTGACAGCCAAAAATGAGCTTGCTTAGACGATGGATTCATGACTAGAATCAGTTCAGTTTCAGGCATGAAATGTGACAGAATTGAAATCTTTTGAGCTCCTTATGTAAGAACATGGCCAAAGCCAGAAACATAACCACATCCAAGCTTGGTTCTGATCAAAAGTTAACAATTAAGGGACAAGCTCAGATCCAAGGATTTCAACTTTGTGTCCCCCAAATTAAAATGGAGCTTAGATTTGAGGTACTGAATACCTCACCTCTGTTTCACAATTTTAACATTTCTTGCCAGCTTCCGAGTTTATCTCCTCTCATTCTCAAATAAAAAACTCCAGTTGTAGATGATCAAAACAGTCACTAGATGGCGATTCCACAACATACAATTCTGGCTGCTCTGACACCTCTCTGTAATGTTTCCTCTTTTTAAATGAAACTCACAACAATTCTCATGGTTGGTCACATAAATGGTGTCTGGGAAGCACTTTACATCAGGACAATATGTTCAGAACATGGTTTTCAACACAGCAGTCTCCTGGCACAGGAGGCAAAGCAACAGTAATTTAATTGTCCTTCTTCAGAGGGATCCCACTACTGCAGTGAATGTTACTCCATAGGAATCCAGGCCTGGAAGGGACCTCCTGGTCCCTGATTATTGAGTCCAGTACTCTGCCACTGCAGGAAAATACATCATAACATCCTTTTCAAGCTCCATCTTAAAAATAGTTAGGTTTTTTGCTGCTACTGTTCCATTAAGAAAGCAGCTCCAGAATCGAATTGTTCTGATGGTTAGAAACCTTCTTCTAGTTTTGGCCTAAATTTATTGTCCAATTTGTACTCATTTATTCTTTATTTGTTCCTTGGCTTAAGTAATTCTTTTCCTCCCTGGTGTTTCTCCTCTCCTCAATGATTATCATCATATCCCCTTTCCAACCTTAACTTCACTAAACACCTTTGGTCTCGCCTCATATAAGAGGCTCTTTCTTCCCCTCACCATCATGATAGCCCTTCTTTGCACCTATTCCAGTTTGAATCCATCTTTCTCGAACACTGGTGACCAGAACTGTACACAGAATCTAAATAAAATCTTACCAAAGCTTTGTACAAGGGCATTAACATTTACCCACACTAGAAATACTTCTCATCATACTTCCTAGGACTGTATTTTCTTTCTTCACAGCAGGATGATATTTGTGGCTCAAAATAATTTAATCCAGTTTCTATTACTCTAATCTTCAAGGCCATTCAGTTCTTTATGCATGGCATTCTAATCCTCTTCCACACCGTTAATGCCTCACTCCCTATGCACCCGCTTTCAGAAAGGGCTACCACCCAAGCCAGCTTCTCGGTCTGCTTTAGGGTTATCAGACAGCCCTAATGCAGGAGAAGCATATGTGTGCCACAGCCCTTCACAAGCTTGCTGTGCAGCAGGTGTGCAGAGCAGCTTTACCGGGAGGCAGGAACATCCAGTTGAGAAGCAGTGAGGTAAGTTAAGGTAGCACCAGCCATGGTTCTCAACTGGAGATGTTGCAACATGCAGAAAAGTGAAGTGTGCGCTGACTGGAGAAAGGTTGAGAACCACTGATCTAGTTGGCTCAGTCTCTTTATGTTTGTTCTTTTGAAATGAAGAGCCTCAGCCACAGACTTAACTTTGTTTTTCTTTCCATTTAATTTAAACAGACTCAATTTAGGATGGCTTGATCCCTGGTTATTTTATATGAGCAACTCTTCTGTAATAACTTCACTGCTTACCAAAACCAAAACTGAAATAGCATCACCTGCTGTTATTTCAGCAACTACTGGGTGAAGAAATCTGTTGATTTTCATTTGGAAAAACTGGGCCCAACCATTATTAGCACCTAACTGTCTAATCTCTATCTATCCCACAAAATAATATAGTTCCCTTTAGTATTTTATTCTGTAATAATTCTCTCCATGTCCAAATCCAGCATCCATTACTACCCATACTTCACTGTCTTTAGATTGTGGTATGTATCACTTACATAGCATTGCTAAAAGGATTAGTTTATTACACAAACATTAAAGGAAATGAACACTGTGCCTAATCAAAGACAAACTGCACAATTCAAGAAGCACAACTCTTTCTCATTAGAGCAATAGAAAGCATTGACAGAGCATAGCACAGACGTTTATTTTTAGACAGAGATCTGCTTACTTTACAATATCTGGGCTGAGATCTTCAAGGGTGGGTGCCGCTGATATCCATATTTAGGCAATCTGGGGCCTTGACTTTCAGAATAGTTGGGCACCTGCACCTCTAACTGAGGTTAGAGGGTGCATCCGGGTTCTCAGCACTATTGACATTTTAGTGACTCATTATGGAATTTAACTTAGGCACCCACTTGTAAAAATTGGCCAAAGCATACGAGGGAGGCCCACCCAGAAGCCATCCCTAACTCTAGCCAGAGCCCCCGTTGTGTTCTATTGACACAGCATTCACTTTTCCTTTTTTTTTTAAATGAAAAGAAGTACATTTTTTAAAAAAGAGAGCTTTCCAGATGCGTGATGGCTCTTTCATACCTTCCCCCAGCTGCAGGGCTGGGTCCATGAGCTCCATCACATACTCCACATTCAGAAGCACTTCAGTAAGGTTGCTGCGAGCCAGAACATACATTAGCACTGGCAGGAAGTCATCTGCACCATAAGGCTTCCCTGAAACAAAGAGTAACACATATGGGTATCAACACGCCTCACAGTAAGGTAACAGTCCTAATGCAGAAGTGGTGGCTTATTAATAACTATGTGGGAAGTTTCCTATGGGTTATACCAACTGACAGGCTAACAGCTGAAAGATGCCAATGAAGAGAGGTTAAGAATTTGAAAATTATATAATCAAGCAGAAAAACTAATAAAAAAGTCAAGAACAAAATTTCTAGCAGGCTCCATTTCATAATTCCTGATCATCTAAATACAAAATTGGTTATTATGAAATACAAACAAGAGGTACTGAGGGACTGCTGAGGATTAAGCTCTGCATGCTTGAAGCTCAAGGGTGCTGCTGTTCTGAAGTGCAGTATGTTTGGTTTCAGTTCATACCATCAGCAGAACTCTCAAAATGGATTACAAGCTTTCATTCCCTTGGGCCCCCTCCTCATTCTCTATCTGTGGACAATGGAAAGGCCCCTGGAGAATAACGAAAACAGGATATGACAGGGTGGTTCTTGGGACAGGAATCATGCTTTCCTGTGTTTCCTCAGGAGGTAAAGATTAGATCCTGTGTGCTTAGTTATAATGGATTCTCCAAGGAGGTTGGGAGCCAAGGGGAAGGTATAGTGTCCCGATATGATAACACAATGTGTTTTTTTTAATTGTGTTGATGATCAAACCTGTTCTAAGGCTTGGTTTGTACAACTGAAAACTGTATGCAAGAATGCAAGAATCATGGGGTCAGGAATAAAACAATGAAGGGTACCCCTGTAGACAAGAGATATAGCCCCTCCATTGTGAGGGTCGGGAGAGAGCAGGGGCAGGAGCACAACTCCTGGGATCTCATTCCTGCTTCTCAGCAGTGCCGATGTATTTTATATTAGGCAGTCACTGGTTAAAAGAGAGAAACAACTCTGGAATCTGAGTTGCCTTTCTTCCTAGCTGAGTATCATCATCATTAGTTTACAAAATCAGGCTCCTTCTCTCTTTGTCCTTTTTCCTCTGGCCCCATGACCTATTTGTATCCTCAGCTGCCCAGTTGCCTAGCTTCAACAGAAAGGGGAGGGGGCACCCTCACCCAGACTATTCTACAGCTTGGTAATTAGGGCACTCTTCTGGGAAGATGGAGATGGGCTTTAACCCACAGAGGCTGAGGAGAATACGGAACATAAGTCTTCTACATCCTGGATGAAGGTGTTCACCACTAGGCTGTTCTCCAATAGGTGAAAACCATCACCAACACTCAGGTTAGGCACCTTATTTCAGAAGAATTTGGTATTCTGGCTCCCAAGCAAACAGAAATCTCTATGTGCAGCCTATGCTCCTGAGATAGACGGGGGTTCAAGCACACCCCCGTACTTAGCATTTCTGATTGGCTGCTTCTGTGTGCCTTTTGAGTCACTTTTCAGAGGCTGATAAATCTTCCCATTGACTTTATAAGGATTTGAGACATCTATATTTGGTTAAACTGAATCATTCTTGGTGGCGGGCATGCACCTAAGTATCTGTGCTAAAGTGACCAAACTGGATATGGCCCTTAGTCTTTACAGTTCCTTGGGATCTGATGCCTACAAAAGCTGATACATTTCCGAGCAATAGGCGTGCCCTGTCCTGCCTTCTGCCGTCCTTTGGGTTATCTATCAAACATTTCATGCTATCGTTATTTCAAACGCCACAAGATACGATCCACACAGAATCTCCACAAGATTCACTGGGAAGAGCATGAAGCCTGTATTTCCTGTCTACAACGTAGTTTCATATGCATCTCTTTTCCATTGCCATTCCTTTGATTCATACCATACAGAATATATACAATGAAGTTGCTTAACAAGCCAGCTTTCAGGTACGCAGGTATGTGCTGTCTCCACAATCCAAAACCCTCTGATTTCATTCTGAAATCGCTAGGGTTGCCTGAAATGTTCATGGGCATTTTCTCCTTTATCTAACTTGTTCATGTCTGTTTGAGAAACGTTTGTCGAGGTTCCACAGACAAAATCTATCCCTGACATTAACTATAGTGAACTTGAACCCAGCCTGCTTTTGGCAAACAGTCTGCCTACCCTTTCATGGTATAAATTCCCATTCCTCAAATGTTCCCCACTGACTTATGTCAAGTCTTTGCCATGAGTCAGGTTTCCTTATTTGTCATTCAGAGTTAACATTGGTTCTCATTTGGCAGAGGAAGATACTTCACTAGAGATTCAAACAAAGATAAGCCTCATTCTCAATTTAAAAATCTGACTTTAAAATAAAGCAAACAATGTATCTGCTAAGCAGACAGTGTAGTTAAAGTGGAAGAGGGTGAGGGTGTTATATTCACTTTTTCTAGTTCTAATTCAGGCCGATTTTTACAGTGGGCCCAAACCGTTGAAGGGAATTGATGGTCTACTTGGTGAAAGGAGGAGTAACACTTTCTAAAAGTGCTAGCTTAACTACAGAGGCAGTTAATGATACCACTACAGGTTCAGAGCTGTACTGTAAAAGGGCTCCAGTGCTTAATTAGTGTCTGGATGAATGTTTTATTTCTCCTGTGTTGCTACAGCATCAGTTTCTTTGAAAGCTTCAATTGATTGGAGCCATGGTGCCAAATCCAGTCTAGTCACAAATATAAATGCACTAGCGTTACAGCTGCTTTAATTTTTGTTGTTGCACTGCATTTAAGTTCTGCCTCAAAAGAACTACAAAAGGAGAACCCCAGGTCTGATCTCGCTAACCCCAGAGTAATCTGGAGTAATACTCCGGAGTCAGCAGAATTCTACCACTGTAAAGCCACCTACAAGTCAACCCAGCTGTTTTTCCTCTGCTCCTTCAAGTGCTTTAAGTTTTTAAATAGCTGCTGACCCATGCTAGACTTAACAGACCTGGACACTTAGTACCCTAGAAAGGTAGAGTACTGCGGTAGCCTCTTCCTCTCCCCCTCTTCTCTGGTCTGGAAAGCCCATCTTTAAGAGTGAGAGGGTGGGTCATTCTTCATGACCAATCTGTGTCCTCTCTGCTAAGTGCCCCCAAGAAGGATCCCAGGTTGCGATATGAATTCTTGTCCACTAAGACAATCCAGCCCTTTCATCCAACAGCCAGCTGGTGGTGATGACTTGTTGGTTTACCAATCTGGGTGAAATCTGAACCAGTGACTTAGAAGTGCAAGGTTCAGTGGCCACTTATCCATCCCTGAGCCAGCTGGCATTAACACAGGGTGACACTTTTCAAGGACTCTTTCAGAATTTCTCCATTCCTGTTTTATTGAATAAAATGTGGTTTATATTTACAATTAGGCTTTGAGTCAATTATTGTCACTGCTACCCGTCTCATTTCCATACATCGATTTAGCTGCTGTACCAACCAAGCCTTGTTGTACACCTTCTAACTTTAAAACTTGATAAAAGAATTATACGTGAAATATTTCTGCAGTCCCAGCTGTTTCCATGTGTTAATTATTGAAATCTTTTACATACAGTGCCTTTTGATTAATGAACTCAAACTAGGCAGGTTTGACTGACCCATTGCAATTAGGTGCTGCATCCACTCAAGATAGACAGTGCTACTGAAAACTAGGTCATAATTTTTGTATCCCCTTGCTAACTTGGTCCTTGATCCAGCCACAAGCAGGTGCTAGGTATCCCCATCTTCCAGCAAGGTCAATATTGCTCAACATCTTGCAGGACCAGTCTCAGGATGGACAAAGAAGGACCAAAAAGACCAAAGACAAATGCAAGTAACCAGTGGTTAAAGTCAGTGCATCTCTATGTTAAATTTATCCTTCTCTAGAATGGGCTGAACCAGCACCTTGAATAGAAACCCATGACATGTCTGAAGAGGTTCAGATCCAGATATGAGCTTTTCTGAGGCCCATCTCTGTTCAGAAGAGTTTGCACTGGTTTAAAGCAAAGGGTCCAGTTAGCTCCTTTCACTTGGAACTGACTTGTCCGCTTCACTGTAAAAATCTGTATGTAACTCTTGTCTTCTGTATCAAAAACTAGCAGATTACATCCTGCTCTCAGTCTGACTCTAAGACTTGTGCAATGGCTCTGTGGCATGAGGAAATGGGCTTACTTGGTCAAGGTGGCATTGCCCTACTCCAAATTTGACCTGCTTGACAGGAAATATTTGTTTCATAAATATCTGTAAGAGGCTTAAAATAAGCCTTCTCCTCTCCAACAAGCCCATCCTATTACATTCAGAGGAGAGCGCTTGCAATATCAGCCTCTGGCTAGGCTGCAGTGCTTGAGTGGGATTGGTATTAATTAAATGCATGGTTTAAAGAAACTGGAATTCTGCCCAAGCCTCCATAAAGAAATTAGGGCTTGGCTGTAACACATCCATATACATGTTTCCCCCCAGTAGCTCTTCTGTACAGCAGGCCTGATAATCATCTTAATGCAGTAATAGCACTTTGCACTTGTATAGCATCCTCTGTCCATGCAACAGTCTCATAACATTTTGTAAACCTGCTTGAATGGAGCCTCGCAGCATTCCCTTAGGGGAGACATAGCTCAGAATTATTTTAGTTTGGGAGGCTGACACACACAAAGGGGACATGATATACCTGTGATCACACAGAAATATCGTCAACGGTCTAAAATGCAGCCCACACTCCCAGCTACATGCTTTGCATACATGGGCACCTTCTACTTGCTGGTATATTAGCTATGTGAAGTTTCTGTAACATACAGGTCAGGTTTGGTTGAAAGTGTGTTTGATTTCCAAGACTGACTATAAGGTAGGTGATTTTTTAATGTTTTCTATTTATGCACAGAAACAGAATGAATCTGTTTTCATAACTCACACTTTACAGAACAGAGGAAACCACTTCTGTTTGAGCTTGAACAGGCATTTGATTCAAATGCAGCAACCAGATGAGATAAAGGATAATCTCTGGTCCCCAAGGTCTGATTAACATTAATTCTGACACAACACTGCCTTCCAGGTCTCTGGACTTCACAAGGAAAAAAACATTATTCCCTCCCCCTGCCTTAAAAACAATACGTGATAGCACACAATATAAAAGA